TAATAACATGGTCTGAGAGTCCTGTTTAGGAAACTTTTGAACTCAAAATGCAGCTGAGGCCACGCTCCCCACTCCAAAAGTTTCAAGAGCAGAACTGCTCCCACTCCCAACAGTAGGATTCTGGATAGAATGCAGCAAGTTTGTTTTCTGAAAAGAAACACCTGGGGGTCATAACAGAGGATGGAACTCAAAACTACAGTTATACCCGTATGAAATGATGTCCAAGAATCCCCGCGTGCACTGATGCAGACAGAGGTCCGAATGACCATGGGCTGGAACTCTAGTGTCCATACCAGGATGGAGGCCACAATGAGGGCTCACAACAGGCAAGTGGCCGGAACTCAGACCGCTGGTTAAGAGCAGCATCCTGGGAGAGCTGGCCCCTCTGTGACAAGAGCACTACACAGACCACATCCAGGGTCTAAAAGAGTTTGTGCCTTAGGAGCTTTGTGCATAAGAAGGGGTCTCCTCTGAGAAATTAAAACTCCACGCAAAGGTGTAAGATCTGAACTAGTACTGGTCATATGGTTTGAAATTCTGAAGGCCAGATATTAATATAAAAACGGGAACTGAATGGGATGGAAATCCCAAGAGCTGTAAGAGAAGCAGATGCACAATCTCTTTAGGGTACACTTTTATGAGTCAAGGCACATGGAATATCTGAAAAACAAAAAACAACAACAAAAAAACCCAAACAACAACAACAACAATGCACCTTGCTAAAGATGTGCTCACAATTAAATCTATAGACTGCGTGAGGAAATGATCCACCATGAGGTACAGTCGGGACACAATAAATTGGAGATTGGCACCCGGAGAACTTGAGATGATAGAGAATAAAATAATCAAGAGACAATAAATAAGAAAACACAGCAAGGTAAAGATGAAAGGAATTGGTTGCTCAGTAAAAGAAAGAGTTAGAATGTGATATAAATAGACATATTGGTACAACTCACTAATTTGTAATGGATTCAAATTGAAACAAAAAATTGCAGTTAAGTTTCAAGTTTTTTGATTGTTATCCTTTGCAATAAATTACCTGTAGGGGTGATGGGAACTGAATTATGCAACTCTCATAAGAGTATATTTAAAACCATCTAATGGATTTTGTTTAGATCATAAATGCATACACTTTTTGTAGATTTTTGAGCTTCTGTATGAATACATTTTTTTCATAGAAATGTTTTTCTAGTTTTTAACATTTTTCTAATTCTCAAAATAATACGTCTTTCTTATTTGAGACAAATTCTTAAATACAGAAAAGAAGAAACAATATGCATAGTCTCAGTACCCTGAATGATGATTAACATTTTAGTACATACCCTTCCAGTTCTTGCTGTACAGCATGTTCTTCTGGCGGCGAATTTAGAGAGAAATACAATGTAGTATACCCTTTATGTTATAAATTTACATTTTGGTATAATTATTTCCCCATAACATTAAAACTTGTTCTAGATAAAATTTAAGTGATTACATAATATTTCTCATGGATATACCATTTACTTCATATTGCATGTTTAGATTGCTTCAATTTTTATTGTTCAAGCTATCTAGGAGATATTTTTTGCATACATTTTTATAGGGTTGATTATGTCCTTAGGCTTTATCTAGGGATTTGTATTTTATTTTTTATTAAATTTATTGGGGTGATATGGGTTACTAGGATCATGTAGATTTCACGTATACAAATCTATGATACATGATCTGTATATTTCATTGTGTGCCCACCACCCAATGTCAAATCATCTTTTGCCACCATCAAAAACCACAATGATGTACCACATTACACCTGCCAGAATGGCTACCATGAATAAATCAACAAACAAGTGTTGGTAGGGCTGTGGATAAGAGGGAACCCTTGTGAACTGTCAGAGGAAATGCAGACTGATGCAGTCACTGTGGAAAACATATGGAGTTTCCTAAAATAATTAAAAATGGAACTACCTCTTGACCCAGTGATCCCATTTGTGGGAATATATCCTAAAACTCCTGAAACTCCACTTCAAAAGAATACATGCCCCCTGTGTTCATAGCAGCGATATTTGTAGTAGCCAAGATGTGGCAACAGCCCAGGTGCCCCTCAGTAGATGAGTGGATAAAAGTGTTTTGGTACATTTACACAATGGGACACTACATGCCATAAAAAGAAGGATGTCTTACCTTTTGTGACAGCATGGGTGGACCTGGAGATTAGTATGCTAGGTGAAATGAGCCAGTTAGAGGAAGACGAATACCATATGATCTCACTTACGTGTGGAATCTAATGAACAAAATGAACTGATGAAGAAATAGAAACAGAGGCATGGGTACGTGGAACAGACTGACAGCTGGCAGAGGGATTGGGGGAGGCGGGACTGGGTGAAAGAAGGTGACGGTATTAACCTAAGAACATATATGCATAACCCATTGACACAGACAACAGGGTGGAGATGGCCAGAAGGAATGGGGGTTGGGGGCTGAGTGGAGGTGGGCAAAGAGGGGAGAATGGGGACAGCTGTGAAAGTCTCAACAATAAAATTAAAGTTAAAAAGTTACCATTTAGTCCTTGTTAAGTGTACAATTCAGTGGCACTAAGTATATTTATACTGTGCAACCATCACTACTATCCATTTCCAGAACTTTTTATCATGCAAGTGTTGGCGAGGAAGCGGATAAAGCGAACCCATTTATTTTTCTTAATTTAGTGCCATTTTAAAATGAGAAAATGACTTTATATTTACCCATCTAGTTATTGTTTCTAGAGACCTTCATTCTCTCGAGTAGTATCAGATTTCTTTGGGTCCCATCATTCTTCTGTGGGAGGGACTTCTTTTCACAATTTTGTGGTGCAGTTTTGCAGGGGGCGAATATTCTCAGGTTTTATATAACAGAAAAAGTCTGTATCATTAAAAGATTTCTATGTAGATAATATTTTTCCTTCAGCCCTTTATAGGTGTAGCTCCATTGTCTTCATTTTGGTTACTATTTTGAAAAATATTTTGTATCACCATTTCCTCCTCCTCCACCCTGCTTTGGGGATTCCAATTATATATATATTGGGCTGCTCTAAGTTGGCCATAGCTCACTGATACTGTTATTTTTTTCTTCGTCTTCTCTCTTATTTTGTGTAGTTTTCTGTTATGTATTTACATTCACTAATCTTTTCTTTCTATGGTATTTAGTCAACTGTTAATCCCATTCTGTGTTTTCATCTCAAGCTCTTTCATCTCTGGGAGTTTGATTCATGTCTTTTTATTCCTTCCCTGTCCCACCTTAACATGCCCATACTTTCTTATATGGTTCTAACAACTCTTTAATGTCCCTGTCTGCTGTCTTGTTCAATTGACTGATTTTTCTTCTCATTATAGATAATATTCTCCTTGCTTCTTTATGTGTCCGATAGGTTTTCTTTCCTTTTTTTCTGTTTCTTTTTTTGTTTCCTTGTTTGTTTGTTTCTTTTTTATGGGTAAGCATGTTTATGTTTAAAATTTATCTTTATTGTTGAAAGTATCACAGATGTCCCCTTTTTTCTTCCATTGCGATGACCCTTTCCCCCCACCCTCCACCCCCTCCCTGCCTGGGAGTTTTTTTATTGGCTGACAGACATTGTGAATTTCACATTGTTGGCGCTGGATATTTGTGTGTGTGTGTTTAATATGCTTTTGAGTTTTGTTCTAGGTCTATTACTTTCAACTTGTTTGCTGCAAAAAAAATTATAACATGCAATACCTGACTATTTAATAGGGAGCACCGACCTCTTTTCCCTTAGATTGTCAAAATAAAATCAAATCAAAATAAAAGGCAACAGTCAACAGACCGAAAACTGTCTGGAGTGAGTGAATAAAAATTATATACGTTGTTTTTATCAGATAGGCAGAAAGTATGTTTTTTAGTGTGTGCGCAGAATTTTTGTAATTAGTTTACATATTCCATGAGATGAAAATGTTTGAAAATCGCTCCTGTATATTTTAGTTATAATTCCAGTTTGGTCCTCGGATCTCCATTTCAAAGAACTATTTTTAAAAGAGGACATTTCCATAAAAATACAAGGTATTCCCTTAAAGTCTTAGTGAAATTTAATCTTTGGCACTTGTAGAAGTATAAATGCTACAGATTTATAAAACATCATTTGGAAGTTTAACTTTTTTTAAACTTGTTTAGTTTGGTAAATTTTAAATATTTAGCTTTTAATGTTAATCGTTTTGGACCCCTCTTAAAGATGCAAATATTGGCAGAAACAAAAATGTTCACTCTTAAAATTTTAATATTTTTAGCCAATTGTGGCTGAAACAAAAATTTAATATTTAAAACTAAGTATTTTTGTTTCAAACAAACATAGCTGAATCAAAAATGTTTGATATGTTTAATATTTAAATATTAAACTATTTTGTTTCATCCAATGACGGCTGAAACAAATATAATGTTTAATATTTAAATATTAAATTTCTTTGTTCCAGCCAATCGTCGCCATCTCCAAGAGGGGGTTGAAACAGAAAATTAAAAGCTTAATATTTACAACTTACAAAACTAAATAAGTTTAAGAGAAATGTAATTAAACTTTTATTATTATTTTTAATTTTTATTGGTGAGAGTACTTCAGATGTCCCTTTTATCCCTCATTGTCCCCTTTCACCCGGTTCCTGCCCTGCCCCCGGCCTTCACCACCCTATTGTCTGAGTCCGTAGGTAATGCATGTAGGCATGTAAGATCTTTGGTTCATCTCTTCCCACGTCCATGTTCCCCTTGCCTCTGAGTTTCTCCAGTCTGTTCCATGTTTTCATGCCTCTGGTTCTATTTTATTCATCAGCTTATTTTGTTCAGTAGATTCCTTGTTTGTTTATTTTGATGTTTAGATTCAATTGTTGGTAGGTATGTGTTTATTGCCATTTTATTGTTCATAGTTTTGATTTCTTCTCCCCCTTCTCCCTCTCCCTCCCCCACCCCCTCCTCCTCTTCCTCCTCCTCCTTGGTGGTGATGAACTCCTTTAGCTTTTTCTTCTCTGTGAAGCTTTTTATCTGACCTTCAAATCCAAATGAGATCTTTGCTGGGTAGAGTAATCTCAGTTGTAGATCCTTGTTATTCATCACTTTGAATATTTCTTGCAACTCCTTCTGGCAAAGTTTCTGTTGAGAAATCAGACAGTCATATGGGTTCTCCCTTGTAGGTAACTAAGTGCTTTTCTCTTGCCGATTTTAAGATTCTCTCTTTGTCTTTAACCCTTGGCATTTTAGTTATGATGTGTCTTGGTGTGGGGCTCTTGGGTTCTTCTTGTTTGGGACTCTCTGTGCTTCCTGGACTTTTAAGTCTATTTATGTTTCCAGGCAGGGGAAGTTTTCCGTCATTATTTCTTCAAATAGATTTTGAATAACTTGCTCTCTCTCTCCTCCTCCAGCCACCCCATGATGTGAATGTTAGTATGGCTGAAGTTGTCCTAGGAGCTCCTTACACAATCTTCATATTTTTGGAAGCAGTTTTCTTTTTGCTCTTCTAATGGGTGCCAGGCCATCCAGTTCCATGCCTTTGCCCCTCCTACCAGTCTCAATCTTCTACTCTCTAGATGTAGGACTTCCATTCAGCCAGATTTCAGGTGGTGCTGGCTGACGGTTGTCCTGTAACTTAGTTGTAATTTTGCTGTCGCAGTGGGAGGCGGCGAATACCCACATTTTCCTAACAGCCATCTTGGATCTCTCTGGCAAAGTGTTCTAATTAAATTTTAAGTGGTGTTTTATAATTCTGTAGCATTTATACTTCTGCAGAGGTGCCTTGGATGCCAAAGCACACAATATCAAAGCTTAAAATTTCACTAAGATTTGCGGGAAACCTCTTGTTTATTCCTAGTTTTTATTTTATTTTTAATTTTAATTTTAATTAATTAATTTATTTATTTGCTAATCCTCAGACTAGGATATTTTTCCCATTAATTTCTAGAAAGAGGGGAAGGGAGGGATGAAGAGGGAGGGAGGGACAGGAGAAGGCATGGAGGGAGGAGGGACAGAGAAAGAGAAACATTTATAAGAGAGATACATTAACTGTTGCCTCTTACATGGGCCCGGACTGGGGTCAGGGATCAAACCAGCAGCCCAGTTACACACTCTTGGCTGGGAATCCAACCCAGGACCCTGAGGTGAATGGGCTGATGCTCTAACCCCGAGGGAAGCCGGCCAGGGACCTCCTGTATCTCTTTAACTGCTTGTTACCACTGCTTTTGAGAAGGAGAGGTGGCATTTCTGTAGTTTTTGTAGAGGAGGGTCTCATGATGTTACAAGCCCTCATTTTCTTTAGAGAGTATGGCTTTGGTGTGTTGCATGCCAATAACATTGTCAGCGCTAAGAGATCTTTCTATAGCAGCTCTGCCCAGGTCTTTTTCTTGACTGCCTCTGGAAATAGCCTAGGAAAGGAAACCAAATACAAAGAAGGCACAATTAAAAAATAAAAGGGTTCCAACCCTTTAAAAAAAGCATCATTGGTAGCCACACGTTCACACTCCTTTACATAGTGTATAGTTCCTGACCCTTTGGGTAGCTGAGGTCTACACTGCTAGGTTCTGTGGATGCCTGTTTCTGCAAATTCACGAAGGGAAACCCCTAAAGGGCTATAATTAGATTGCCAGAGTCAGGGAATTTAGAATTATTCAAATTTTGTGTTCTCAATGATATCAAAGAACAGTACCATCTGTTGCCTGAACATTTGTTCCATAAACATACTAAACAGACACTTGGACAACATCAGTGTTTTGTGAGCTATTCAAATTCTATCCAATCTTCAGTAGTTACTATCTACTCCAAGCAAACTGTAATGAATGGGCATGTGCTGAACTTCACTGGAAGGTAGGGAAGGTCTAATGACTGAAGCATCAGAAGGACCTATTTCACTTGCACGATAATTATGGTAGAAACACATTTTATTCTAAAGTGCCACGAAGGTACCACAGAAAGCGTCCATTTTAAATGTGTCCATTTCAGTTGTGAAAAATTTTTTCAAGAAAACCCGACTGAGAGACCTAGAAGGTTCCTGCCCTGCAGGGAGGGGTTTCAATGGTGCCTCTTCTGGACATTCTGAGAGCAGCACCCTAGTAAGGGAGGTGTTGCAATAGTTCCCTCTTGTGGACATCCTTAGAACAGCAACCTAGTCATCAATTGTGCCAGCCTGAAAAGAAAACCCAAATGACAGTTCTAGAGGGCTCTTGCCCTGCAGGGCAGTTGAAATATACCCTCTTGTGGAAATTCTGAGAACAGCACCCTAGTAATGAATTCTGCCAGTCTGAAAAGAAAACCCAAAGGATACACCTCAAGTGCTCTAGATCTTGGAGGGAGGTGTTGTAATAGTGCCTCTAGAATCGCACCATAGTAATAGGTTAGTTGCAACAGTGCCCTCTTGTGCACATTCTGAGTACAGCACCCTAATACAGGAGGTGTTGCAATAGGGCCCTCCTGTGGACATTCTCAGAATAGCACCCTAGTAATCAATTATGCCAGTCTGAAAAGAAAACCCAAATAATTGACCTAGAGAGCTCTAGCCCTTGCAGGGAGGTATTGCAATAGTGCTGTCTTTTGTACATACTGACAACAGCACCCTAATAAGGGATTAAATGCAATAGTGCCCTCTTGTGCACATTCTGAATACAGCACCCTAGTAAGGGAGGAGTTGCACTAATGCTCTCTTGTGGACATTCTGAGAACAGCACCATAGTAGAAGAGGAGTTGCAACAGTGAAAAAAAATGACATATGATGTGAAAGAGTTAAAAAGCTCTTATTTAATGTATTAATTTTATAAAGCTTTTCATTTTCCTAATCATTGTTTCACAGAATTTATCAACAGATATTGGCTTAGGTGACAGACAGAAAACCCCACTTAGTGATTCCACGCCTTACCTCTGGGTTCTGTGCTCTACTTGGCAAAAAGGTTCAAATAGATCGTGCACATTGTATTTCTCGGCTATCATTAGAAGTTCAAAGTAATATCTGGCATACACTCTGCCAGTGATCTGAATATTAAACCGAATTAAACGTAAAAAATCTATTTCTATCTTATTCCTAGGGGAGGAGGAGACAAAACCGACACAGAACGTTTTAGTCATCTGGGCTACCTTCAAAAATGTCACTCTGCGCTACAAGGATGACTCTAAATTGTGTTTTGAAACACGTAAAGGTTACCCAGCTGTACTAAGACTCTAACCATCAAACCAGGTGCAGCTCTTGAGGTCCCTCCTGCATCCCAGCACTTGGAGTTGGGAGGAGTGTGAAGGGGTGACCACCCCCTTTTGCTCTCCTGCTGCTGACTTGGGGGCTCAGAGTCCCTTGAGTGCGGCTGTGGATTCGTGCTCCTGGCTCACTGACCAGGGCCCGCTGTAGTGTTCAGATGAAAGGAGTGATGTATGCTGCTCCTGGACCCTAACCAACTTGCAGGCATTTTCACCAGGCCCATCACAGGCAGGGGCTTGTGGAAGTAGAGAAGTACCAACAAATGAAGTGAGCACATCACCACCGCCGTGAAGGGACCCATGGGAAGCCACCACTACTATCTGAGGGGGCAACACTCTTGAGGCAACAAGGATTCCTCAAGTATTAATTAATTAATTAGTTAATTAATTAAATCAGCCACATTTGAAGGAAAGGGGACCCATCCCCCACCCAGTGCATGGGACCAACAGCAGAGGACAAAAGGGAAGTTTCTGTTCACCTTATTCCTCCTGACAGGACAGGCTGCACTTTTTAAACTATGAAAAGCAGAAACAGGAAACATAGATGACCTGGCTGGACTAAGCCCCGTTAGGACTGGACCTCCGACGGGCACGGATCAGACTCCACCCGTGTTCTCCCACGTGGGGTGTGTCCTGCCCTGCTCAGCACCCCTGCCCCGGCCCGAGCAGAGGGGAGCCTGCCCAAAGGGGTGAGTTCAATAAAGTGGGAAAAGAAATTTGGGAGCAGAGCTCACATATCATCGACGGTAATGATGTTGTTGATGAGCTGGCAGTAGTCCCTGCCCCACAGAGCCTGTTTGCCCCAATACTCATAGGCAAGAAGGGCAGATCCCAGAAGTATTCTTCTCCAGTTAATGGGAGTTATGTCAATGTTTGAACAGTCCAAAAGCCTTTCCATGAAAATCTGTAAAAGTAGAGCACTGGTCTTTCACTTTAGCTCAGTGTAAATGCTTGATTTGAAGTGTTAGAAATGACAGATTTAATCCATTTTTGAAATTCTTTTTTTTTCTTTGTTAATTCTCATGGGAGGATATTTTTTCATTGATTCTTAGAAAGAGTGGAAGGAAGAGAGGTGGGGGAGAGAGAGAGATTCACAGAGAGAAAAACATCTATATGAGAGAGACATCGATTAGCTGCCCCCCCCCCCCCACACACTTGCCTGTTTGGGGAGGGGAATCAAACTTGCAATCCAGGTGGGGGCCCTTGACCAGGAATCAAACCCGTGACCCTTTGGTGTGCGGGCTACTGCACTATCCACTGAGCCACCTGGCAAGGGTGAAATTCCTTCTATCCTTACGTTCTACAGACACTGCTGGGCCAGCCAAAGCCAGAGGCCATCCCATTCTCTCTTTCACCACTTCAGTCTGCCCCCGGCGCTGTCACTGCACTGAAACGGCTATTGCTAAGGGCCTCAGAGCCTTCGCAATACAAACAGAGGTCTTCATCTGCACTGCCCACTCCCCAGCCCTCCCTAACAGCATAGAGGGCACGGCCACTTGCCTAGTTGCTGGGACCACAAACCTCCACTTGAGCCAGCCTGCTCCCATCTGCTAGCAAGTCTTGCCTCCCCTTCTCCGTGGGAACCTGAGCGCTTTCCAGTGCATTGGGCACCTCTCACCTGTATGACTCTCACTGACTCCTGACTTTACTGCCTCCACTCGGACTTCCAACAACAGTCTCTTCTCCCCAGGAGCCAGAGTAGCCTCTTTCCTTAAGAGCACTTCACCCCCAACTCAATGTCTGCGGAAGGTTTCCCATCAGGCAAATCTAATGTAACTTCTTCCCACGGCCTGCAAGCCTCCAGGCCTATGAGATAGGATACTGCCCGTGTGTGACCTCATCTTCTTTCCTCATCCCACACTCTGACCACACGGCCACACCGCACTGTTCCCTGAACACTCAAACCCTGTGCCCGTCTCAGCAGCGTGCCTCAGCCCCTGCCCACAATGCCAGAGCTCATCTTCCTCAGCTCAGCCAGGTCACGGTTCCAATGTTTCCTCTTTATAGAGGCTCCTCTGACCTTTCTGCCGAAATGAGTCAACCCCTGTGGTCACCTCATCACTTCATCCTGCTTTATCTTCTTGGTGCTCACACCACCTGAAGTGTTCATCTCTTTAAAAACACTCATTAAAAAACTACCTATGTCTTCCTCACTAGAATATAAGCTCTTGGGGTTGGGTGGGGAGTTGGGGGAAGAAACTGAAATCTCCCCTCATGTCTTTAATAGCAATTGTTTGTGATGGATACAGCAATGGTAACACTTTCAATCCCAACGATTATTTAGCTCCACTGTGTGTGGCTTACTCCCCTTCATAGCTTCTCTTAATAAAGTTCTGAGGATCATGTCAGGAATCTGCTTTGATGTGCAAAGCAGACCATCGCCTGAGCCCAGGACAGAGAAGCAGCCTCTGGAAGAGCTGTCTTACCAAGGTCACAATCGCATATTCAGCCGTGAGGTGTTCAGCACTGAAAAGAGTACAGACAAATCTGTACACACTCTTCAGTTCAGGGTCACGCAGAAAGTGGTCCGTTGTAATTATTTCGTGCTGAAAAGAGAAAAAAGGCAACATAAGTACCCACTGAAGGAAAATACATAAAAACTCTCATGCTAGCAGCTCCTACTTTGCCCACCTGTCCCTAAAATAATTTTGATTAGGTGACATGTCTTTTAGACTTTTTAAAAAATAATGACACTTTTTTTTATTTCAGAGAGGAAGGGAGAAGGAGAGCGAGGTAGAAACATCAATAATGAGAGAGAATCATTGATCAGCTGCCTCCTGCACACGCCCTACTGGGGGATGAGGCCCTCAACCCAGGCATGTGGTTTTGACCAGAATCCAACCCAGGACCTTTAGTCCACAGGCCGATGCTCTATCCATTGAGCAAAACCAGCTAGGGCTCTTTTAGTCTTTGAAGTATAAACTATGATCTTAAACAACACTGATTCTATACTCACCAGTTACAGTTACTGATACAGGCACAACCTGCATACAGTTATATGTCTCCCATTCCCTCCTCTACAGAAGTCTACCGAAATGTAAACCATGTGTAGGCTCACAGGCATGTTGACCCCCATGTCACTCTTCTCTGCAACCAGCTCTGAAAACACATGTTCATGTTCCTGTGACCCTGAGACTCTGGCTGTGCCGTGCTCCACAGGAGGCACCAGCTACCTGTCGCTGCAGAGCTTCAGAGGAGGGAAGTAGGAAATTCCTCTCATTTTAATTGGTTTAAAATTTAAGTAGCTGTCTCAGTTTTTTCAAAGAGTCTTAACATACCTTGTAGGTCTATTTACAGACGTTTATATTGTATGTTGCTCCTGAAATTTTTCTTTAAGAACGATACACTTACTCATTTGGGGCACATTTACTCACTTTAGCTCCCTGACTATACAAAGCTGTGGCTCAGTTCTTACTGACGTGGCCCTTACACAGGACTCCCTTTGTAAAACCATTAGAGACAACATGCAGTGGGAAGAAGACTGAAAAGAAGATGTTTTGACTTGAAGCTGGAGGGAGTCATTTTCTTCTTATAATTCATTTCAAAGCAGATCAGTATGAAATAAACACACAGTATGAGAGACAAATAGAACCTCAATAAAACTGACACTTACTCTGAAGGGGTGCTTTCTCTCATTGAAAATATCGAACGATTTATTTCCAACTCTATGAAACAAGAAGATGCATGTAAAAACCTTACTCAGGAAATGTTAGTATCTCAGTAACACATCATCTAGGAGTGAGAGGGGGTTCAGGGCGAAGCTTAACTTTCAACAAAGCAGTTTGACAAACTGACTCTAAGAGGGTTTCCTGACTTCTTTTTACTCAGGACATCAAACCCTGTGCAATGTTTTCTGCAATGACCAGCTAGCGTTGCCTTCAAAACCACTGACCCTCCCTGACAGGCAATGCTGGTAAACCAAATGTATTTCCATCCCTCCAGCTCACACTGGAACACACAAGAACACTTTATAAAGCAGTAGTGCTGGGCTACAATGTGTTTAGAATTTTAATTCATGTGGATATGACATTCATGTTTATTTCCTGTTTTTCCACTTGTTATTTTCCTGTATTACATTCTTTTTTTATATTTTATTGATTTTTTACAGAGAGGAAGGGAGAGAGATAGAGATAGCTACATGAGGCTGGGTCTTCCTAATACTTCTTCAAAGCAAAGGATTAAGATGACTGAAATAATGGCAAATGATTGAAGACAGAATAGCCATGAGAATCAGGTGTCTTCTATTAAGCCAGACATTTAAAAAATTTTCAAAAATGTAGATTAATGATACATGTCCACTCAAATTTTGGTGCAGAAAATAATTATTTTTCATATTGTCTTTTATATTATACCCTGTAGTGGGCAAGACAATCTGCCACAACAAAGAATTATCGAGCTCAGAATTACAGTAACACTGTAAAAACTGTTTAAACATACAGTGGATTTATTTTTTAAAGCTCCATTTTAATTTCTAATACAGTAAATATCAAATAACCCACATAAACAAATACTCTTTGGGATCCTCAATAACTCAAGTGTTATGGGTCTTAGGACAAAAACAATTCATTCACTTTAATCCTATATAATAAAAGGGTCACATGCAAATTGTTCCCTCGACCAGGAGTTCAACTAGAGTTTGACCAGGGGGCAGGGCTGGCCCGCCAACCACCTGGGGTCTCTCCCGTGGCCGGCCCAGCCCAACTGGCCCTGATTGGGGCCGGCCGGCTGGACCCTACCTGTGCACGATTTGTGCACCCGGCCTCTCATAATATAATAAAAAGCACTTTACAGCTTGCTTCAAAAATGACTACAGCTACTACCTAACACTCAATTTGATATGTTATACATGTACTAGCTAGAATAACAATACAGGTTTTAAAACTCACCTGGTCTTTATGATGTAATGTATGGACAAAGTCATGCTGTGGAAGAAAAAAGAATTGTAACAATTGGTTTTATTATGTTAGGTTTGAGGACAATTGTTAATGGGTCGGGAGCGGGGGGAGCGGGAAGACCATCCCAGCTGCCCAGTGGTCTTGAAATCGTCATTCCCATCAGTATCATATGGGCACTTTGCCCCTTGTTTTAGCTATTTTGCAATTTCACATACTCGAGACTGTACACCTACTTTGGCCCCACCCTGGACATGTTAGTACACACTCCCATCATTTGCCCTTGTACTCATAGGACCTTTCATCCTGTACATGTTATATGTATTTGTGCACATACTTAAATTTAAGCCATACAGTAGTTGTGCTTTTAAAAAAGTTGTGGGTCCTGCGTTTCAGTTGATTTATTTCGCTATCTACCTACAAACACATTTCCATTATTTTCCTACAATTAAATAAAATGCTCTGTACCAAAAAAAGTTTAACATCACTTTGACATAATTATTAGGAAATTGAGTAGCAAGTGTAAGAGCCCAAAACATCAGTAGATTTGGTTATCCTGACACAAGCAATGCTAACAACGCATCGCATTGCTTCACAGTGTAATATTAATAACATTTACTTCCAAAGTAGATTAAATGTAATCATGCCTCACAGTTTTCCGCAGCTTGTCAAAGGTTGTGACATTGAGAGACTGTTGGGGGTGGTGGTGAAATGCATGTATTTAAAGACAAACATTTTTAGAAAAGTTGTATAAGTGATTCTAGTAAAGACTGCACCCCATTGGGAACAATGTACCATGATGCACATTTTTGAAAATCATTCTTAAAACTCAATCAGCTCTATGAATTTTCTCAGTAAACCCTTACTTCACCAATAGTGAATCTACTGAATGACCATTTTCTTTCTTTTTTCTTTCTTTCTTTCTTTCTTTCTTTCTTTCTTTCTTTCTTTCTTTCTTTCCTTCTTTCTTTCTTTCTTTCTTTCTCTTTCTTTTTTTTTTGGAAGAGGAGAACTGAGTTTAATAATTTTGTTTCCACTTGACTGTGATTGGAAACCTGGCTCCATAGAAGGGGCCAGGAGAAGGTGAGCTGCTATGGAAGAGAGAATCTGCCAGGTCACCAAACGCAAAGGGGCTATGACAGAACCAAGCAGTCCACAGAGTGGACAGTGAGAAAGAACCAGTCATCAACAGAAGCCAAACCTCTGAGAAGCATGTGGAGAGTCGGTCCATGGCGACGGTTGCCCTGGGAACAGGGACATTCCTGCGCGGGGATGCCTAAGGCCTAGGCTACACAAAGGGCGTCTGAGACGGACATTCCTGATGGACATTTTACAAAATCTGGCCCTTAGAATAACTGAGAAATAGCCTGAAAAGATCGTCCCTGAAACTGTAATAAAGAAAGTGTCTTATCTAACTGGTAAAACTGACAACTCAGTGAGCTATTTTTGCTGTCATCCTACCATAAGAAAAAAGCAGAAATACATTCGTCTCAGCAATCTGTGAAAAGCAGGGAACCGCACCATAAAAGCGTAGAAAGGTTTATAAATGGGAGAGTCCAAGAAAAAGCTCTCTCCAAAATGTCCACAAAGATACATATGCCCGTTAGAAGAAAATGTAAGAATATACACATCATCAATCACATCCGAGAATAAAAAAGTTAGGATTGATGTATTTAGATTGAATGACTACTCTAAAGTAGGGGAACTCATTTGCGTCATTTCTCAGATTCCTTGGGCAAGTCATGCGCATTCTGAAGGGATCAACTCCTGCAAATTCCTTGTACTGGATCATGGGTTCAGCTCACAGAGGAGAGAAGAACAGGTCTTGCCTGTGAGTCCTTTACTTTCTAAAAGAAAAAACCAACCAAACAAAACCCCAAGTCATTTTGTGCGCCTAGCTAATCCCTTCCCCTTGATTAACATAAATAAAGAAACATCCCTGCCCCAAAGGGCTGAGTTTTTCCTCCTAAAAGACATTCATACCTACATCATATTTGCAAAGCAGTTTAAACACACTGCCTGCTATTAGCACTGTTTGTTTGTTTGTTTTTAATAAAAGGGATGCATATCTGAGTGTAAGAACTGGAAGATTCTCCCCACAGTTTAAAGCAGCGGTTCTCAACCTGTGGGTCGTGACCCCTTTGGGGCTCGAACAACCCTTTCACAGGGGTCACTTAACACCACCAGAAAACACATATATAATTACATATTGTTGTTGTGATTAATCACTATGCTTTAATTATGTTCAATTTGTACCAATGAAAATACATCCTGCATATCAGATATTTACATTATAATTCATAACAGTAGCAAAATTACAGTTATGAAGAAGCAACAAAAGTAATTTTATGTTGGGGGTCACCACAACATGAGGAACTGTATTAAAGGGTCGCGGCATTAGGAAGGTTGAGAACCACTGGCTTAAAGGATTAATAAGATGCTGGTTCAAGTTCTTGAAGATGGAAATGGAAGGCAAATGGCATCATCAGAGGCTGGGAACTACTTACAAACAGCAGGGCATCCCCAGAGCTGGGCGGGGGCTGAGCAACACCCCACCCCATGTCACCATTTTGAGAGTTTCTATCAATGCTTAGTTAAGACTAGGACTTCTTTAAGAGACTAAAAGAAATGCAATTAAGTTTTTATTGAAGACTATCCAGTGGCAAGAACACCTGAGCATTGTACCATGTCGTAGACATTAGTCAAGAATTCACTCAGACTGCCTTTCACACTGCATTGGTCAGACAGCCTTCAGCCTGCTGTGAAAGTGCTTTGCAGAGCTGGTCCTGAGTCCTAACAGGGCTTTACTTTAGATCGCCGCCCACCACCTGTTTTCCTTGTATTTTACTATCAAGAAGTTTGGCCACATAGCTTAAAAAAAAAAAGAAGAAGTCCAAACTGTTTCCATTCTGAGGCCAAATTATGATGTGATGCTAATTTGCATGAAGCGTTTGCCTCTCCATGCATCCTGCTGAAATCCAGGGTCCATCCCAAGGAAAAAGTCTAATTGCAGCAGAAGCGGGCGGGTGAGGCTCTGAATGACCATTTTCAAAAGGGAGGACAGTAAATGGAAACTTACTGTACTTCCTGAATTAGACTGATTTGGAGAAAGAAGCATGAAACCTACTTGTCTGAGCAAGGCTAACCTTTACAAGTACGTTTGAAGTATTCTGTAACATCAGAATCTTTTGGATTCAAAAGAAGCTACAGAATGCATCCAAAGTTGAGTGGTGCTATTCTTTACTCCAGGATTTAGTGTTGGCTGAATACAAACATTCAGTGATTCCTCAATAGGTCCCAAAGCTCAGGAGTTGAGAGAGAGATGGGGCTCAGCTTTTGCTGAAACACAATGTGATCTCAACTACTGTTATAAGTGAGAGAAGAAAGTTATATTATTATAATTGTGAACTTGCTGTTTTTTAACTAAAGTAGAAGTTACTAATAATTTAATTAGCAAAAAGATGGCACATTAGGAAAATGACATTTTAAAGCTAATTATCTTTTTCAGGCTGAAAATACAATTAAAGGTGAATATACTAATACTATCAGGGAGCATTTCTAAAACTGTGTTCCGGCCGTAACCGGTTTGGCTCAGTGGATAGAGCGTCGGCCTGCGGACTCAAGGGTCCCGGGTTCGATTCCGGTCAAGGGCATGTACCTTGGTTGCGGGCACATCCCCAGTAGGGAGTGTGCAGGAGGCAGCTGATCGATGTTTCTAACTCTCTATCCCTCTCCCTTCCTCTCTGTAAAAAATCAATAAAATATATTTAAAAAAAAATAAAAAAAAAATAAAACTGTGTTCTGGAGAATCAGCTATCATTTTCTAGGCCAGGGGTGGGCAAACTTTTTGACTCGAGGGCCACAATGGGTTCTTAAACTGGACCTGAGGGCCGGAACAAAAGCATGGATGGAGTGTTTGTGTGAACAAATATAAATTCAAAGTAAACATCATTACATAAAAGGGTTCAGTCTTTTTTTTTTTTTTAGTTTTATTCATTTCAAATGGGCCGGATCCGGCCCGCGGGCCGTAGTTTGCCCACGGCTGTTCTAGACACTGAGAATGTACCTTGGACAACCCCATGGGAGCCAGGAAGCTGGACAGAATATGCATTTTCTCTCTTAAATAAGCTTAGAGTTTTCATCTTAGGGTGTTTTTAAAGTTCATCTCCCATGGTAGGTTATGGGGCAACTAATAAACACTTTTCATCATCATAACACTGTTCATGGTTGCTTAAGTATAAACCTGTCTATGGCTATGTTTCCAAAAATTACTTCTTTCACTTTTTTCTTTTGTTATATATCGCCTGTATATTAGAAAGGAATATGCAAATTGACTGTCAGCACCACAAAGATGACTACACCCACAATGGAAGCCGAGTTCCCCTAAAGAGCCTTACTGAGCAATCAGCAGGGACCTGAGGCTGCGACCCTCCCCTCGCCCCCGTGGATCTTGGCAGGGGACCTCAAGGCATGCCCCCCCACTCCAGCCTGGGCTGGGGGACCTCAGGCTGCACCCCTCGCCCCAGTGCCATGCAGGGGACCTGAGGCTGCACTCTCCGCCAAGCGGGGCTTGACAAGGGTGGGACTGGCAGGGTCTGGCCCTAGCCCAATGGGGTTGGGGGCGGCCGGGTCTGGATCTCACTCGATTTTGAGGCGCACGTGGGTGGGTAGGGACTTGACTCTGGGTCCTGTGGTGCGCCCCTGACTCTGACAGGAGGAAGATTTTCATATACATTTTACTAATTTTCTTTCATCTCTGACACTTCTATTATAGAGAAAGGGCAAATAGCAATATTAAAATATTCCCTCTAATTAATCTCCTTTTAATGTGCAGGAATTTCGTGCACCAGGCCACAAGCTGCAGTTTCTTGAAGATATAGTTATACATATGTATACATATATAATTAAATTTTATATATCTACTAAATTAAAATTTCAGTTGCACAAATTTTACCTACAAAGGAATTAGCTTGAAAAGTTGTTCCTTAAAGACTGATGTGATACATCCCACTTTGGGGGTAGGAAGGAAAAGTAAATTTTAATACAGACATAGTGTAGAAAAATGTATGATGGGAAAATCTGACAAAATCCAATTAACTTGTAATGCAGACACACTCTGGTGCCAGTGGGGGAGAAACTATTCCTTCTTGTAAGAATAGCTTCCAAAGTGCTGTGTACTCTTTTAAGGCCATGTCCCATAAAGAAATACGTTTTAATAGAAACACCCAATAAAAAGCACTTCTCCTTTCCATTATGGTCAAAAATGCCTTGAAAACAGAACAAACACACACAATATTTTGGGGGGATTTCATATTTGCTAACTGGTTTTCCCTTCTTCCATCCACTCTAATGGTTACACGGAAATTGAAATTATATATTTAGGTCCTTGACATTAATAAATAATAGACACCAGTTTCTTAACCTGGTTACTGAGAAGGACAACACAGTGGCTGAGACGATGGGTCAGTAGGATGCTCTCAGCAGACGGGGGTCTGTCACTCAGCCTGCGGCAACCTAGTGGTACTCACGCTCGGATGGTGGTTTTAAAGTCCGGCTGCCTGATGGCATCGTCAGAGAGAAACACTGTGGGACACGACCCATATCCTTTAGTAAGGCGTCCTGGACACTCCTGACGTAGAGGGAAAGAGAGGCAGATGTCACAGTACGTATGCTGAACCTATAAAAGTGTCTGTTTTATCTCTTGGTTAAAATGTCAAACAATTAAGCATTAAGGTTTTTCTTACAGTCCATGAACTGCTTGAGTGTATTATCATGTGCGGCTATATGTAAACCCAGTAGATAATCTAACTTCCACAGACGAGATTTGAGGAATGGCTTATAAAATATTCCCTTTCACAAGTACCTATCATCAAACCTGCCAAACCCCTATTAAACATGCCCTTTATAATAGTGTAAAACATTCAGAATTAGACTTCAGTGTTTTTCTTCCTTAAGAGAGCAAACGTAGCTAAGATTTCCTATTTCTCCTGTTCATTTATTACACTTAAATGCAATGCATTAAATAATAAAAATTCATGACCATTTTATTGCAGTAAATGAAAGCCAATAATGAATATTAATTCAAAGAGACAAACATGCATGTTTGGTCAGAGGTGTGTGTGGGCCAGGGCTGCCCATTTGCTAACAAGCTGGGGGCCACAGGTCTCTCTGAGCCTCACTTTCCCAAAAACCAGATAAAACAGCTTTCAAAATTCAGCTCTCACTTGATGTTTAAGGAAGACTATCGTTACATTTCTCAAGTGAGAACCCCAGAGAATAGTTTCCATTCATTTCTACATGTTGTTAATTCTGTTCTCTTGGTCATCTGACACTCACCCCCATCCTGCCTCACTCAGCTGCTCTCTCTGCTTACAAGGCCTCTTCTTCCTTGTCCAGCAAGCTCAACTCCTCCCCATCTACCTCCAGGATACCCTCACCAGCAGCCACACCACCCAACCTCTCTCCTGCACACGCCCACATCTGAGTGCCCACTTGTCACATGGCATCAACTGCCTACAGGGTGCCCCTCTCATAGAAACCTAAGCTTCTCTAGGAAAGGGAGGACTCGGACTTCTCTCCTGCCTCCAGCTGCTGAGCACAGAACCTGGGATAGATTAGCAGCTCGAGGACTTGACAAGTTTTTTTTTTTTAATATATTTTTGTTTATTTCAGAGAGGAAGATAGAGGAATAGAGAGCTAGAAAAATCAATGATGAGTGAGAATCTTTGATTGGCTGCCTCCTGCACGCCCCTCACTGGGGATTGAGCCTGCAACCCTAGCATGTGCCCTTGGCCGGAATCAAACCTGGGACCCCTCAGTCTGCAGGCCGATGCTGTATCCACTGAGCCAAAACAGCTAGGGAAACAAGTTTTTTAAATCATTTACATCTGGGAGATAAACCTTACTGCACATACAATTTAGAATTTATCTGCAGTGGTACTGGAGAGGTGACAATAAAATGTTTGAGAACCTTTAGAGAAAACACTATCCTTAACACACTGTAGCAGTATCCATTGTTTTGAGAAGTATCCAATGATTTGCAAAGAGCCCAACAATTCAGCAATAATCAAATACTGACATAGCCTGAACTATGTTTTGACAATTCTCTTCCTTAAAATAAGGCCAATAACTAATCATTGTAAATAATTGAGAATAACAATAGCATTTTTGAATATCAGAAAATACTAATAACTAATATGCTTGGTTTTGTTGTTTTTAAAAACTAATTCAGATGAGCCATCCTTCCTCATTTCATAGAAAATAGCGTTCTTCATGCTGTCATACTTCCCCATCAGCATCCCCCACAAATGCACAAGAGATTGGGCAGGGGAATAATCTACTTGATGCCTTTTAAAATACAGAGCATTTTAACATTGCCAGTAGCCTATAATCAGAAAGATCCATATATTGTATAAAACACCATTTTGCTTGTTTTAATGGTTTCATTGCAAAGCCACTTTTTCCTTATCAATCAGAAGTTCCAGACCATATTTTTTTGAAAAGTATCACTATTTGAAGGAATAAATTCTCCTTCAATCTAGAATAATTAGGAAAATAGAGGAGGTTGAGAACACCTACAAATGAGGTCCATGCTATTGGTATCCACCCATTATAGTTTGTAGGAATCACAGCAGACAATTTTATATCAAACTATTAATTTCTTACTTAACTCTTCAACTTTTACTTACATCATTGTTCTTCCTCTTGTCTTGTTCTAAGAAAAAACAAATTAACTGATCAATTCTGATACAAATGCCATAGAAAATAACAGTGGCTGATATCTGAAAAACTACCACATACAAAAAGAGCAAAATTTTATTTCATTTTAAATACTTTACAACAAAATTTATAATTTGGAATACCTGGAAAGATGAGCACCCTAAAGTAAAATCTAAAAACCTAGTGTTGCTTTTTGACCTAACGTATCACCTATATTTGGTACAAATGAAGGCTCTCCATGTACAGAAGAAAAGGGCAAATCCATTCAGACCAGGTGAGAAACGAAGCTGATGAAAAAGTTTGCCTGTAGCATATCTGAACCTCTACCCAGTAGTGGCACCTGATTGAACATTTATAACCACCTCACTTGAACCACCAGGATCTAAGAGTTGACGCTCTGAGAACCAGTTTCTGGCCAGGCACTAGTCCCCAGGCTCATGAGCTTCCCTGGAAATGTCCAGAACCACTTATTGGTAATCAACTAAAATACCTCACCAAAAACCAATGGAAAGTAACCTATTTAAATGTACATTTTAAAATGAGTGCTGCCTTAGTAGCCCTGGCCTGTGTTGCAAAGTTTGTTGGGCGTAGCTTTTCCTTTACTGTCTCCACTCTACTGTGAGGCACCCATGGCTCTGGAAGCAACTGAGAAACACAGCAATCCTAACCAAAAGCGATTAGCTTAAAACAAGAAAAACACACACACAAGACACCCCATGCTTTATTGTGTGGCATTACTGCAAATACAATGGAACCCTCATTCCTTGTACTTCTGTCCTAATCAACTGAAACGCCTGCTCACGTGTGGCATTTCCAGCAGGTAAACTCAATTGAACAAAGCATTGAGGAAGGTCAGCAGGCAAGCAGGAGAGTCAAAATGCTACCTTGCTGCTCAGGTAGTAAAGAGGGAAACATCTGGCCACAAGGGGGAAAGCAGCAGGGGTGGGGGACCAGGTGCCCATCCCTAGGAAAGCTGGCTCCAGCTGGAAGGAGCCCCAGGCAGTGAGTCCCTCCCAGGGGACTGTGGGGGCAGTGGAGAACAGAGGTACCCCAAAGAGCAGAAGGGAATTGCTGCCTCTTACCTTTGGGCGTCGCCGGGGCGCTGATGTTCTTCAGGTGGTGGCGCTTGAGGGCTCTGGAAGTTGACTCAGACTTCGGGGTAGCAGGCACTGTTTCTACTGCCCTTGTGTCCCTAGCAGCCGCCTCATGAACCTCAGACTCACACTTGGACTTAACCTGCCTGGAGCCCCGATCCAGCTTGGGGCTGGCACTGGGACTGGGACTGGCCTTCAGGCAGCAACTCTTGGAGTTGCCCATGGTTCACCTCCTCTCCTCCCTGGTGTTGCTGATTCGCTCACACCCCGCTCCCCGCCACCCCCCACCCACAACCCTCAGCAGTCCCTCCCCCCAAGGAAGGCTAGGCCTGCAGGCAGCCCCAAGGCTTCACTGCACAAGCAGGTAGGGCTCACCCACTGTTTGCTTGGCCTCTGGGCTGCCAGGCCCCAGGTGGGGCTCAGGGCCCAGCCACCCCCCGAAACTGCACCTCTCTGGATGACTCGTTTGTGAGGACAGCAACCAACACGACTTGTTGAAAACGGATCAGGATCCGACAAGCGCTGAGAGCTACAACCACAGTGGGAAGACAGCACAGCCAAAGCTCCTTCTCCCTCTACAGTTGCTTCTCAACTGAAGTCTGTTGTCCTGGCTGCTGCCAGCCAATCAGAACACATTCTGCAGTTGCCTGGTTACAAGGGACCAATCAGACCCAGAGTTCCACCATGCTGGAACCCACAAAGAAGTCAGGGATTTAATTTACAACCCCTTCCCCTAGACTTGGGTTTACATTCATTGCATGCATCCTGGAGCTCTCCACTCCTGAGGGAAGTGCAAGCAGGCCAGTGTCATTAGCTCCTGGGTTTCACCAGGTCTGACAGCCGACTCACTGATGCATTGCTCTCTGGACTTAGTTACACCTTCATTGTTGACCATTTTTGTAACGAAATTCTCCTTCTCCATCTACATGTTAGCTTTTGCCTGCACCTTGCCCTGGTCCTACTCTCAATACAGAGCTATGACCGTGTGTCTTAAATGGGACTCAAGGGAACATCACCCCTCTCCTTCCTCATAAGTAAAATAGGAACCAATCCATCCATCCAGCTCAGCAACACAGGGCTTCACCAGTTTGCTTTCCTACCTCTGGTTTTCCCTCTCATGGCAGGATTTCCTGATTTTCCTCCCCCCACCCCAATAACAATGGTTAAAATTCAATTGTCACATACACAATTGAGAACCTCAAAGAGGGGTACCACAATCCTAATTTGATGAAGATGATGGTAATGATAGTTAACATTTGCCCAACCCCATTTCAAGAGAGGTATTCATTTTAATGTCCAAAAAGAACCCTCAGTTTACAGATTTTACCAAAGAAGTTGAGACACAGCAATAAAGCCACACTTTCAAGTTCACACAATTATTCAAAGACAAGGCCACATCCCTTGGATCCCCACAGACACTTCCTCATGTTTATCAGAAAATAATGGCAGGAGTAAAACATGGGAGGTAGTGACATTATGTCAGGAAATTGTTAAGGAAGAACAATTTTTTGTTGTTGTAAATTTTAAAATATATTTTCCTTCATTCAACATTAAGTCTCCTCAATGTGCCAGACACTGTATGTGTGAAACACTTGTGCCCTCACTGAGGCCGGAGGGAGGACACGTTTTTCATGGACCCAAAGAGAGAACCAATTCCACAGGAATTGTCCTATGCAGTTGGATATTAGCTCCCTTCCAGGAGCACTTTCTTGAGCTTAAAAGCTCACCCGACCTTACAGGGGCTGACTGGCATGAGTGAGCGCCCTGTGCCTCAAGGAAACCAAGTAGATCTGAGATTGTCATTGGTCAAGGAGACTGCAGAGGCTGATGGGGGTGTTGGGGCTGAATCCGTCTGGGCTGTCTCTGAGCATGACCAATTTTCTTTGTCCTCATCCCCTGACGGCTGTTTCACAAGGATTTTTGCCTCCATCTCACCTTGGTCCATTGGAGTTCCTCTGTGGGCACAGGAAGGTTCAGCCCAGCCTTCGCTATGTCTTCTCTAAAGAAACTTGAGCAGCAGAACTAGCTACTTTGCTATCTGCCCCTGGGTTCCCGTGGATGCATGGGGAGTAGTGGTTAGGAGGAGCTCAGTCCAAGCCACAGTGAGGAGGGTCCTGGGCAGGGACACTCAGCCTGTCCCTTCTCTATGTGACCTTCAGACCATACTCTGTATAATTCCTGGTGCATTTTCTGATTTTGACTTGGACTTGAAGGACTCCTGGGCTAAGTTCCCTGCATTTACAGTCCAGCTGGCCCTGGTTCAGTCATCTCTAGGCTGGGTCACAGTGGGTTTCCCTGGGCCTGGGGTAAAAAAAGAGCAGAAGACGGCCTGAACCAAGAGACATCTGAAAACATGCTCAAAGTCACTAATTATCTGAGAGATGCAAATCAAAACAACAATGCGGTACCACCTCACACCTGTCAGAATGGCTGTCATCAACAAATCAACAAATGACAAATGCTGGTGAGGATGCGGAGAAAAAGGAACCCTCGTGCAATGCTGATGATTGCAGATGGGTGCAGCCACTGTGGAGAACAGTATGGAGTTTCCTCAAAAAACTAAAAATGGAACTCCCATTTGACCCAGTGATCCCACTTCTAGGAATATATCCCAAGAAAACAGAAACACCAATCAGAAAGGATATATGCACCCCTATGTTCATAGCAGCACAATTTACAATAGCTAAGATTTGGAAACAGCCTAAGAACCCACCAGCAGATGAGTGGATTAAAAAACAGTGGTACATCTACACAATGGAATACTACTCTGCAGTAAAAAAGAAGAAATTCTTACCATTTGCAATAGCATGGATGGAACTGGAGAGCATTATGCTAAGTGAAATAAGTCAGTCAGAGAAAGATAAATATCACATGATCTCACTCATTTATGGAATATAATGAACAACATAAAGTCATGAAGAAAAACAGATCCAGAGACAGAGAAGCATCAATCAGACCGCTGAACCTCAGAGGGAAGGTAGGGGAGGGGAGGGGTAAGGGGGAGAGATCAACCAAAGGACTTGTATGCATGCATATAAGCCTAACCAATGGACACTGAGAACAGGGGGTGAGGGCATGAGCAGGGGGGTCTGCAGTGGGTAATGGGGGGATAAGGACACATATGTAATACTTTAATCAATAAAGAAATTAAAAATAAAAAAGACGGCCTGAAATATGACCTCCAGAATCCAGGGAGGCCCCTGTGGCCCCAGTCTGTAGCTGAGGTGAGGTGCTGGGGCCAAGGTGGAGGCCTCACTGTGGAAGAAAGGGCCCTGTAGGTTGTCTGTACCCCACCCCAGCCCCATTCTAGACCAAACAACTGAGCTAACTATTCACCCCAGGCCTTCTGCGCTCACTGAGTTTCCTGCTGGGTGAGAACCAAATCATCTTCCTAGTCACCTGACTTCTGTTGCTCAAATCTGAGAGGCTTTTCCATATAATATAGGACACGAGGATCATCCCAGAGAGGGAGACCCCCACCTTGGCCTGACTCAGAAGCACCTTTGTTGGGAGTGGGTCAAGAAATGGTGGTCTGGACCCCTCCAGGGTCAGTTCCAGGTCTTGGAGGAGAGCCCAGGAGTAAACTAAGGGGGCAGGACTTTTAGTTTCTTAGCTATGCAGTGCTTTCCCGAGCAGGCATCAGAGGCTGAGCTAAACTTGGCCTGGAACGTGCTGGAGCCAGACACTGAGTGAATGCCTCACAGCGCAGGGCCAAGCTTAGGGAGCACAGAGAGGCACATAGAGGGATAGATGGAGACCCTGGCCAGGTCAGCGCTTGTGTCCTATAGCTGCTGGCCTTTCTCATGTCCCAGCTCTTGGTCTGCAGTGGGGCTCCACAGGGCCTGAGGGCCTGGGCAGGGGAACTGGGCCAGCTGTGCCTCTGCACCTCTGGGCACACAGAGCTCCCAGTGCAGACCTCCTCTCCAGAGACCTAGCTTCCACAAGCTGGCATGGGGTTGGGGCCTGGCCAAGCCAAGGGCCCTCTCATCTTGAAATGCATAGACTGCAGAGTACACAGTGGGGCTCTGTGCAGCGCCAGCATGGCCAAGGGTAAACCTGAGGAGGGGCAGTGAAGGATTTAGAAAAGCCAGACAAAGAGAATACAGCTGGGTCTCGTGGATCTTCCATGCCTGGATGAGGACACAGAAAGATGCTGCCTATAAGCTTAGCCTTTATTTATAGTCAGAGACAAACAAGGTTGTGGTCAACATAGTTACAATGTTCTTGTGAGTTTTACTTGTTTTGTCAGCACTTGCTGCATCTCCCACAGCCCCTTAGCTACCTAGGAACGATCTAGGGAGCGTCATAAGGCCAAGCTTAATTATGCTAACAGGGCTCTGCCCTCTCAGCTGGGACTTGTTTGTGGCTGTGCCACAGGTCAATTCGAGGCTTAACCCTATAGCCACTCCCTACAGGGCTCAGTGTGTTTTTACCCCTCAATTCATTGGGAGCCCTGGAGTTAGGGACTCCCTTATTTGCTGCCCACCACCATGCTTCCTACATGGTGGGCCTGCAGTGCTCTGCTTGTTCTTCCGAGCATGGCCCTTTCCCAAAGAGGTTCCCCTGATTCCTGTGTCTCCTGCTGCACCTCCTGCCTGCTGGACAGGTGGGAATTGGCAGTTCTGGGGCCCAATGGCCCTGCTGTCCTGCAGGATTTTGTGTGTGCTGTGTGAAATTGAGCCATAATTGTTGTTGGCAGGTCAGGAGATGGGACTGACCCTCAGGCTGACTGGTTGTGAGGACTGGCTGTGACTACAGTGGATGGGCTGTTGTGGGAGGGCTAACACCAAGGAGTGGGATTCACCTTAGTGGGGCTCTGGTGCCAGCCTAGTCCACCCTTGTATGTGTCACTGTGGCGCTAAATGGCTGTTGCTCTGGAGTGCTCTAAGCTGGCCACCAGGTGTGTTGGTATTTGGGCCTCTTGGGAAGGCCTCTGGTGAAAGACAAGGTCAGTGGATTCCTGTACTGGGCCTGGCGCTACATGGTGGGAGCTAAAAAGCAATCTACAGTTGGTAGCTGCCTGTGCTGTGCTCGGATTTGTTAGGGCGAGGCTCTGCTGCAAATCGATGCCAGCTGCCACTTGTGCCCCAAGCTTGGGACCACTTAGCATGTCATACAGTGCACTCTGAGGCCAGAGGCTGCTTGTTTGGGCTTTATGACCTTTCAGAGGTTTTAGGAAAGCCCACAGCACAGGCAGAGGCCAGCTGTGTGTGAGGAAGAGCT